TTGTTTATGAAATGTGATTCCTGTGATTTCTGAGGCTCTATGTTGTACACTTGGGCTTTTCAGATATACACAATTCTTAATTTAACTTCAATACAGTTGCCTTTTTATCCCTTGCAGTTAAGTGATGAATGGTACATTATAGAAAAATTTTGAGGAATTTATACGTAGCATAAAGAAGCTGTGTGGTAGCATATCAAGTCTAGAAGTTATACAGTATTCGGAATTTTAAAGAAAAAATAATGTCTCTATTAGAGTACTTCGCACTGATTTGTTTCCCTCTAAAGAGAGAAGAGATAGAAGACTAAAGAGGAGCATTTACAGAAAATAACAGGATCATGGGAGAAAGGACTAAAATTGTTTGAAATGAGAGAGGGAGCTAGGGTAATCTTTTTAGCCTCACAACTTGAGATATAAAAGGCAAGGATTGTTTAAGAGATTCCTCAGTTTAATAGCAATTCATTAAAGGTTTCTTTGCAGTGATTTAAATACCAAAATTGCATTCATTATTTTCACTCTGTTATTAATTTGGCTAGATAAAGTTATAGGGTAATTTTAATTATTATAAAATACCAAGATGCTTGTTCACCAGTATACAGATAAATTGAGAGCATAGGTGGGGTTAAATATTATCATGGAGTCTAGCTGAACATTTTAGTTAGCTATTTCTGGTTTTGGAAACTGAGACCTTGGTGGTATTAGAATACTAAAAATGTACACTTGTTTGTTTGTTTCTTTCTTCTCTTTCTTTTCTTTCTTTTCTTTCTTTGCTTTGCTTTCCTTTGCTTTCTTTCCTTCTTTCTTTCTTTCTCTCTCTCTTTCTCTCTCTCTCTCTCTCCCAGTTTTATCCAGTTATATTTGTCTCATTTCTATTGTTTTTAACTTGTCGTTGTATGGTAGAATATCACTCTATTATTTATTTCTTATCTATCTCCAACCTCGATATTATAGACTTGAAATATGTCATGAGGATTGGTTTGACTATCAAATATTAAATGGAATCCTCTCTCCCTCTCCCTCTCCCTCTCCCCCTCTCTCCCTCTCTCCCTCTCTCCCTCCCTTCCTTCCTTCCCTTCCTTCCCTCCTTCCCTCCTTCCCTCCTTCCTTCCTGAGTTGCAGAGAGTAGCTGTATCTTTAACCATAAGAATCAGAACTCGGCTGACAGTGTTCAATACTGCCAAATTGAGAAGGAATAATATTTATAATATGATTAAAATTGTATTACAGCAGGTCCTCAAATAACATCATTTTATTCAATGTTGTTTTGTTATAACATTTATGAGATGCCTAGAAACTTAATTCATGTTTATATCAATTAGCCTATGATACAGTTGGTTTTGTTTTACATCATTTTGCTTAAACTTGCAGAACTCATTGACAAAGTTAAGTGAGGACTTACTGTATTAATAAAAGTAACACTTAATAAAAAAGTAACACTTGTGTAGTACTTACTTTCTACTAGGTGCTATCCCTAGCATTTCACATATATTAACTAACGTAATCTACACAACTGCCCTGTAAAATAGGCACTGTTTTTCTCACTTAAAGATGAGGATAGGTGTCCTCAGAGAAATTGTCATATTGCTAAAGTCACACAGCTACTAAGTAACAGAATCAGGATTCCAATCCAGGCAATTTACATCCAGAGCCCTATATTACTTATGTGAGGATACAGTCTCATAGTTTCATGTTTGCTAATAAACTTTTGTGTGAACAATTTCACATTTATCATTAAAAAAGACAGGATTTTGAAAAGTGAAAAAACTTACTGATTTAACAGTTTCTGCATATTGCTTTCAAACTTTTTTGTTTTTCTTTTTAATCATCTGTCTTACATTTATTCTGCCCTTTATAACAATGCTTTATACATTGCAGAAATTCAGCAAATATTTTTTTATTGTTTGTTTGTTTATTTTTTTATGCCTACAGCACCTGGTCTTCCTAGGTGATCTCCCATCCAAGGCTTAGCTTCCGAGATCAGACGGGATCAGGCGTGTTCAGGATGGCATGGCCATAGACTAGAAATTCAGCAAATATTGATGTAGTGATTTCTCTGCCTATCATCAGATAGAAATCTGCAGCTTTAAATAAGAGAGGAAAAAGATTTTATTTTTATGTTTGGTTTTATAGCTCAAACATCTTATTCTTCCTAAGTAATAATTTTAATTGTAGGACTTTCAGAACAAATTTGGTATATTAAAGTATCCCAGAATGCAGCGTTTCACATTTTGGTCTTCATATTTGGACTTAATTATAATTTTTCAATAATCATACAGCTGTTATTCAAGGAGAGCAATCAATCAGTTTTTTAACAAAAACCTTTTTATCCTGGCAACTGTCTTATAATTACCATAAGACATTTCTGCCATAAATATCTTTTGAGTATCTATTAATTCCAAACTCTGTTCTGGATGTTGGAGCAGTTATTTTAGAAAATATCTCCTCGTGAAATTCAGTCAAATAATAAATACGAATCTACTTAATAACCATGTTCTTCCATTCTTTTCACATTTTGATATGTTGTAGTTAAGTTACATCACTGAATTCTTTGCTTGCCATTGTGTAATCCTTGTACTTTTAACTTTGTTTTAATTTAGCTTAGTATAACATAACCTTGATTTGTAAGTCAAGTTGTAAAAATAACACAAACATTTAAGTTTTTTAAAGTGACATTTTTAAGGCCATAAAAAAGATAATTTTCTTAAGGGTTCTCTGTTCATATCCATCTCTCCCTGTTTTTCTTTCTCAGTGTTTTTACCTGTCTCTCTCTGACTTTAAGCCAGCTTTTTTACTTTTGACTCATTATTCCATAAAAAAGTGACATTTTCTTCTTTCTGTTTTGTCTTTATCTGGAATGTTTTTATGGCTAAGCTTTAAAAATGTTTATTCCTAATTTCCTAAATTCAAAGTTGTAATTTGACTTGAGATTTTCATTATCTTGAAAAAATTTCCAGATTTTTTTTTTAATATTAGAATGATAAGTAATAGGTATTCCAATTAATTGATTAACAATTTTTTTAAATTCCTTTTCAAGGCCAGGAGACAAGCTTCTCAAGTTTTTACAGCCGAGAAGATTCCTTGAAGGATTAAGCATTTCAATTATTGTGGAATTTTCCAAATTTGATATTAAACTCCTTAATACAATTTATGAATCTATGAAGTCACTAAATACTCAATTTTGTTTCTGAAATGTCTAAATTATACCATTAATGCTTTATTGTTTAGTAATTATTTCAATAAAATATCTTATTTTCATTGTGGGTTTTGTAATTTCTTACCTGTGTTTCAGAAATTGATTTTGTATTATATGTAATTTTTATTGAGTACTTACTTGTGTTAGGTAGGTACGCTTAGTATTTTCCATGTATTAATTAGTTTAATTTTCAGAATAGTTCTCTGAGACAAATACTATTATAAGCTGTGTGAAGGAGCTACAGCTCTGTGAGCTGAGTAATTTGCCTGGGAAAATTATCATAATTCAGGATGTGAACCCAGGCTTTCTCACTTCCAAGCTCTTACCAATATAACGTTCTGCTTTCTTCTGTTGTGAAACATATACAGTGAAATTCCCTCTTCACCGCTTAGAAATAACCTTAATACTTAACAGGTATAGCTCTAAAAAGAGGGGTTTGCTTTTGTTAAATATTCACACTCTTACCTATACAACTGTCACTTAGAGATTTGTGTTTAATGTGTCTTTTAGGAAAGAAACATTCAGATAGGTACTGGATGTGCCATCTAAGGTTGCAAGAAAGAACCCTACCCTGGCTACTTTAAGCAAAAGGGAATTCATTGAAATATTATCAGAGAAGCTCACAGAATCCACAGGTAGCTAGGGAACTGCACTGGAATCCAAGCAACTCTAGAGGCTAAGATGTGGTCTAATTTGCAGCAGGAACCAGGTTAGGAGCCGAAGTAGAATGTCTCTGCTCAAAATTCAGATTCCAGAGAGGAACATCTGATTGGTATGGTGTATGCCATGAGCAGGGGCAGTTTCTCAAAAGGAAATCAGGGTACCTGAGGAAATAGATATTAAACTGCAAAAGCAAAACTCTACCATGAAAAATGAACAAGAATGTATTTGAAGTTTTATAAATATTAGCTACTCTATCAGATCCCGAAAGTTACATTCCAAGAATGAATAATAATTGCCAATTGGAAATTCTGGAAACCGTCCTTTCTAAGAATATTTTGTCTTTCAGACTGGTAACCAGTTTTATACTTTATATCTCCATACAGTTATCCTTCTCATGCCATCATTATCTCTTACCTAGATAATGTGATAACCTAACTGGTCTCCTTGTCTTGATCCTCTGTCGGTTCATGTTCTACACTGAAGCCAAAAGGTTCAATACAAATGTGATTTTGTCACTTCCTAGTTGAGTCCTCTTCCTTGTTCATAGATAAAATCCAGACACCCCATACAATCTGGTCCCTGCTCCAGGCCCATCTCTCACCACTCTGAATTCAAATTTCACTCTTTTCAGCTTAAAGTCCTTTGCTAAAATACTGCTGGTGCTACCTAGGACCCTTCTCCCTTTAGTTGTCTGCCTCTTAAATGGAATTCCTCTTAGAAGTGCTCCTCAACTGCCCAAGTCTGAATAAATGCACCTTCTACGTGTCTGATAAGCATTGTCAAAGTGTAGATCAGTGATCTGCAAACTGTCTCAGGGTGCCTGGGATGGATGGTACTTTGGATACTATTTTAGTAAATGAAAATATAGAGAAGCAGTGATAGAAATATTAGTCTAAAGTCTCTGGCTATCCCAGCTAGCTCTCTGTACAAATCGTTTTTTCCCAGTCAGAGCAAAAGAATTTCTATTGAGAAGGTTTTTTTTAAGAAGCAACAAGTATAAGGGTTAAAAATTTGAGTGTTACCAGCCTTTGAGCAGGTGATAGAATTAGAAACCCTCTCCTTATCCTTGGCCTCAATACCCCTTGATGCTCAAAAAATATTAAAGACCCAAGAAGAAGTTAGACCTGAGACTTGAAAAAATACATACAGAAGCACATATTCTATTAGTTGTAGCCATCAAAACAGTGGTTTAAAAACATATCATTTCGCCTCTGGAAAATCCATCGAGCATCTTTTTTAAGCACATATTAACAGTTTATATGAAATTGCAAATTTGATCTTTTCAAGTAATGACATTTTACACATGAATAGTTGCCGTTGTATATGTGTATAGGTAAATAGTCCCACATAAGAAGTATGCATCAGTCTCACAAGGCTAGGCTAATTTTTTTATTAGTCATAATTATCTTCCTCATCTTCATCTTCCTCAGTTTCTTCATCTTCCTCAGTTGGAAGTATGGTTGCTTCCTGTGCAACCTTGAAAGCCTGCTCCTCTTCCACAGTAGGGTCATCCATTTCTGTAATTTCTGGTCCACTGGGGTATTCTTGACAAACTGATGGTGGAACTGGGGGTGTATAGCTGTCTGGACTATATTTATGACCCCAGCCTATGTAGAGATTTTCAAATTTCCTATAAGTTAAAAAAAAATAATCAGTATGAAAAGTTGACCCTCTTCTTCTGTAATGATAAAGTACTTAGAGTATCATAGTCTCATAATTTTAAAACAATACATTTAAAATACACTAGAGATGAAGTAACCCTAAATGATTTTCTACCACGGAATTTCTGTGATCCAAACTGCTTAAGCTGACCAGGGGACTGGACTCTGTCAAAATGTACCCGACACCCAGACCACAGTCTTTGATCATTTAATTATTTTCAGAAAAACAAAAAACTAAGTTAAAAAGTTACTACCGTCCTTAGAGTTAGAATTTAAAAGTTTCCAAGCTAGTAAACACTTGACTGGATGAGGCATGGGCTTGTGGTGAAAAAACTCTGTGATTTTTCAGGCCCGACCAGGGGCAATTACAAAGGCTTTTCCTGGTAGGTCTGATGGGAAATTGCCCTCTCCTCCCCTGACTTGGTGCACAGTCAACGCACTGCAGTCTCTAAGGAGAGTTATGTCAAGGACACTGACTCCTCTGGCCTGCCTTGCTCTTCACACACACATTTGCATTCCCAGCCCAGGTGCCTTCACTCCTAGGTCTCTGAGGCCTTTGGCAGAGGTCTTCTTCAAGTGCTTCTGCCAAGGCACTTACTGGGGTTTGGAGAGAGAAAGGGAAACCGTGAACCCCACTCTCAGTACCCAATACTTCTCCCTAGCTCTCCCCCAATTCCCACATTTAACTTCATGAATTGGATAATTCAGATGAAAAGGCAGAAGTCTAAATCAGTCTAATGTTCTATTTTTTTTTTAGGCGAGGCAACCCTTGGTTGACCTCACAGATTGCAAGGACCCTGCCATCTTACAATCCCTTATTTTTTATGCCTACAGCACTTGGTCTTCCTAGGTGGTCTCTCATCCAAGTACTATAGTCTAATGTTCTAAATTTGAGGCTTTACTGTATAGTACAGATGTTCTTTGGATAAATCTTATGCCACATTAAACGACACGCTAAAGATGAGTTAAAATGATAGTAACGTAAATTCCAGTGATAACTTGTACTTTACAGAAATAAAATAATTACAATAATAATTTTGTAAGCTGTCAGATACTTACTTGCCATTGCAAAAAGCATATGCTCCAGGCCAAAGGTTGGACCTCAAAACAGCAATAGCATATTGAGGAATGATATTTGAGGACAGCCGTGTTGTCCAAGGTGGTATATTCTGGATCTCTGTAAACCAGAGAAATTCAAAAGCTTAACTCCTAAATAGATAATGATATACTGCATAACAGAAAAGCTATTTTTATAAATCGTAAAACAAGCACATTTGACATAGAAGGAAAAGTTAAAACATCAGCAGCTTAACCTAAAACCAGGAGGGAATTTTATGAACAATGTGGAACAATAGAATTTGGATATTTATACACTATATAACAATGTCATATGTTTATGGTCATGTGTTTATGATCTGCAGAATGCAAAACAAGAGTGGTACACATAACTGTCAGCATTTCAGTAAGAGCTACTGCCAACTTAAGCTTCCTCCTTGTGCAGCTCTTCTTTAACCTGTCAGAAGAAGTAGGTGGAGTGTCCAGCTACATTCTTTATTCCCCACCCTATAGTATAGTCTATATGTGTGTGTGTGTATAGATAGATATAGTATATATGGTATGTATAAAAGCATATATACATAGGCTATATACATATATACATGTATATAATATACTATGTATAATACATAGTACATTATTTATATATATATATATACACACACACACACACACACACACATAATATATTATGTAGTTTGTGTAAAATTACCTAAGTCTTCAGAGATTGGTGTCAAGAGAGGAGGCCCTACTTCCTGTTCTATGTAGTCAGGCTCTTCTTTTTCTTCTTTTTCTTCATCATCTTCATCTTCTTCCTCTTCCTCCTCACTTTTTTGTTTGGGGTTGAACCAATTACAGCGACCCTAAATATGAATATTGCAAGATGAGGACCATAGTATACCAGATTATTCATTTGGATTGAAGCAATTACCTGCACAAGGTCCCATTGTGCGGAAATTTAATCATTCATCCATTCAACGTACATTTACCAAGTGCTAGGTTTTTTCAAGCAAAAGAGTATACTATTTATTTCGAGAATTTGCCAACTTCTTGAAGGTACAGAACATTTATATTTTAAAATTAGCAGTACTTTATTTAAAAAGGTAATAATGCATTTTACTAATTTGTAATAAATAATTTATAAGAAAGAGGCAAAGTACTACTATCATTAATAAAATTAAAATGTGATAAGATTAGGTATAGAGATTTGGCATTATCATTTCTCATCTAATTAACTCTTATCCAGATACATAAAAGTATCTGATATATAGGAAGAAGTATAGTGGAGATTTTCTATCTGCAAATGAGGCAGTATAGCAGAGTGATTAAAAGGATGAACTCTGGATTGTTCTGCATATTCACATCTAATCCTGTTGCTTCATAGCCATATTCCCTTTTTCACATTTCCTAAACTCTCCACTTCAATTTCTTCATCTGTAATATAAGGAAAATGTTAGTTTTTCATACAGTTATTAGGATTAAATGAGTTAATACATATAAAGTGCTATTAAGAGCACCTGGCAGAATATGTGCTATATAATTGTTATTTAGCACAGTTTGCTTATTTTTGTTTTATTATAATCCTTTATTGTTCTTAGCATAAAAGTTTCATATATTATAAAAATAGAATAAAAAATTATTCCCAAAATTAATGCATTTATATTAAACTTATAAAAATAATTTCACAACACACATAAATCTAAATCCTTATGTAACTCATCAAATACTCCATAGAAATAATTATTTTACTTCTGTTGGGAAATAAAAATCTGTTTGAGGATCCTAAGTCTATACTACTTGGCAATTATATAGTACTCTGTATTTTTACTTGATTTTTTAATAGTCTCTTTGCCTGGAGTCTGAAGGCCTTTGTTTTGCATGTGTGCATGTGTACATTGTAGACTGAATTTAATACATGTTTGCTGATTGGCTGAAAGATTGAGAATTGCAGAGTCCCTACCTGAGGGAGAATATGTTGCACATGATGAACCCAATTGGACAGAGATTCCACTAGATCAGTCACTTGAAAGCCTTCAAAATCAGAGTTTTCTTCAAAGGTATCTCGCCCACCTTCCACCTCTTCCTCCTCCTCTCCTTCCTCTTCACCAAACTGATAGAATCCTAGAGGGCTGACATGGGTCCCTGCTGAAATTCTGGCAATTTGTGCTCGTAAGTAATTACTCTCACTTCCTGGGAAAGGTGGGTAGCTTATGATCGGGGTATCCAATCGCCCAGTGAAAAATTTCTTGATCTTTCTTGCAATAACAATTTGTGCAGGTGTAACTGATGGCAACTTCACCCACGGTCTTCCTGGTTCATTGCAAACAAAATAGACATATTTGTTTGCCCCTGTTCTACTTTCTTCTTTCGGTATGGCCTGTGGGGCCTTATAAAAGGACCTTGGTAATTCATCTTCATCATCTTCTTCACCTTCACTATCTTCATTGTCCCTCTCTTCAGTTACATCTTCCTCTTCTACTTCTTCTTCATCTTCTCCCTCACGAAATTCCACTTCAGCTACAATATAATTCATTTCCAGACCCAAGATCTTGCCCCAGAAACGGCATCTTTGGATTGGGTGGGTGTCAGTAAGCTGTTTGAGGGCAAGAAATATGCGATAAGTCTCATCTGTGCCCAAACCAACTCCAGCTTGTTCAAAATAAAAAGCTGACTCCATTATATTTGGAAGAGAGTTTTCTGCCTGAGAATATAAATGCTGAAGTTAACATTTTATCTATAAAGAGAACTGCTTGCTTTTTTTTTCCTTTTTGTACAGCTTGGTATTAGCTCTACTTTCCCACCACTTCTTTGACATTTCTTTCAAGATTTAGATCAAACTTTATTAGTTTCTGAATTTCAATCTTTTCATTACTTATAAATGTAGCTTATACCATTGTCTTATATGCATCAGTATAATAGTTATCTTGTCATAACCATTATGAATAAAATTCAACATCCCATTTACAAAAATATTTAAGTAGCCCCTTTACTATACTGAAATAATAAAATATAGTATAACCTACATAAACACATATATTTAGAAAAAAATGTTTATGTATATATATATGGCTATTCAGCCATACCTCATTTTATTGTGTTTTGCTTTTATTATACTTCACAGATACTGCATTTTTACAAATTGAAGGTTTGAGGCAACCCTGTATGGAGCAAGCCTATCAGCATCATTTTTCCGACAGTATTTGCTCACTTCATGTCTCTGTGTTAATGGATGAGGAGTAGCTTCTTCATATGAAAGTGGTTTCTTGAGATGAAATCTACTCCTGGTACAGATTGTTGAAATGACAACAAAGGATTTAGAATATTACATAAACTTAGTTGATAAAGTAGCGGCAAGGCTTAGGAGGATTGACTCCAATTTTGAAAGTTCTACTATGGGTAAAATGCTATCAAACAGCATCCCATGAGAAATCATTTACGAAAGAGTGAATTGATGCAGCAAACTTCATTGTTGTCTTATTTTAAGAAATTGCCACAGCCACCCCAATGTTCAGCAACAGCCACCCTGATCAGTCAGCAGCCATCAACATTGAAGCAAACCTTCTACCAAAAAGATTATGATTCCCTGAAGGCTCAGATGATGGTTAACATTTTTTAGCAATGAAGTATTTTATAATTAAGGTATGTACATTGTTTTAGTAGACATAATGCTATTGCATCCTTAATGGACTACAGTACAGTGTAAATATAACTTTTATATGCACTAGGAAATCCCCCAAAATTTGTCACCCACTTTATTGCAATATTCACTTAATTGCAGTGGTCTGAGACTAAACCTACCATATCTCCATGGTATGACTGTATATGTTTTTACATATTATCATATATTTTATAAATAATAAATATTATATATATGTGGTAATATATAGGGCAAATAAAACTCAGTACGGTACCCTATACATAGAATAATATATAGGACAAACAAAAGGAACATATAATAAGATACATGCCCAAGCATAACTACATTTGAAGAAGTAATTTAGTCAGATGTTTGCTTATACTTATAATAAATATTTTGGATTTAAAATAAGGAAGAAAATCAGAAATAATTCATAAAAGAAATACAAGAAAATGAAAACACAAGTATACTCTAGAAAAACATTTCTGAGAAAATGGAAAATAACTTTAACTGAAGTAGGAGTAATTTGCAAGACAAACCTTAGATCTTCAAAATAGAGAAATTGAGATTACTTTTCTATTCTAACAAATGATCTACTCTTAATTATATTATAATTTTAGTGTCAAAATAACAATGACATTTTCAATCTTCATCCCTTTGATGTAGGTATGTAAATCTCTTTCCTGGGCATCTATTGTACCACACTCACTCTTGATCCTACTTTGCCTTCTACAACTATTTCTCCCTAGTCTCTTTAACTGGTTCTTTTTTCTTAATTGAGCCCTAAATATTAGTGTTCTCAAAATTTCAATCATATCATCAGTCAATATTTTATGCGTGGATGATTTCTTCCACACCACCCCAAGTAATATGTGGTTGTTTAACATGTACCTCTCTAGTTCTGACTTTTCTCCTAGGTTCCACACCCGCATTTCCAGCCACCTATGAGAAATTTCAATCTGAATTCTACATATATCTCAAGTCAAGAATGAATTTGTATTTCTTTCAAATCTTCTCTTTTTTGTGTATACTCTATCTTCTCCAAAAGTAGCACCAATAACTCAGTTTCCCAATCCAGAAAGTTCAGTCAACCTTGCTTCCTCCAACTTTCATATTTAGAATCCTGTTGATTCTACCACATAAAAGGCTGTTGGCATTATCCTCTTCTCTTTAATTCAATTCTACTATACTAACTTCCACCCTGACTACTTGTATTGCCACAGAAAGCTTCTAATACTCTCTTGCCCCTATTTTTTCATTTTCCACATTATTATCAGAGTAATATTTCTAAACCATATCAGACCATGCTATTAAAAGCCTATGTTGACTTCTCATTTTATACAAGAAAGAAATTTCTTTTCAATGCACAAAGAGCAGTCTGGCTCTAAGCACCTTATCTGCTTCATATCTATCACTCACTCCTTCAAATCTATGTATCAATTTACTAAACATTCCTAAACATTAAAAAATCTTTCCCAACATCTTACTGTTCTTTCTGCCCAGAATTTTATTTCTTATAGTCTTCACTTGGTGAACTTCTTATCTTTTATGATCCAAATGAAATATCGCGTCCACTACAAAGCCTTGCCTAATTCCCTATAATAGAGTCAGTTGCTCCATTCCATCTCAGAGCTTGTCAAAACAATATAATAATAGTTGGTACTATTCATTACGATCCTAGGATATGCCAGACCCTTTTTATATAGTACCTCTACCCCTTAAGTTGGTGCCATGTGACTATCCCTGAGGCTTGGAAAGGCTCAGTCACTGATCCAAAGTCACACAACAAGTTAAGTTTTTGAGCTAGGATTCTAATTCAGATCTAACTTCAAAACCCCTGTTTTTTTTACCCCCACCATACTAGGCCATCTCTATTAGTGAACTAATCAAATAGCTTTACAATCTTTTTTGCCTCTTTCACTACTCTTTCACAACTTAAAGTCAGAAAAGTCTTTTTCATGTGTATATCTCAGTATCTGGCATGCAGTAAGGAGTCACAATGTTTGCAGATGAATAAATGGGTGAATGAATAAATGAATACTGAAGACTAAGGACAGGAATTCTGGTGTGGTCAAAGAGAGGAATAAGAAACATGAACACTCAACATAGAGGTCTGGAACAGAGTCAGTCACAAAGCTTGTATTTCAATGTTTCCAAGACCTACCTGTCTTCCTATTCCTGCATGTTTCTATTCCCTGAGGTAGAGTTTTTAATTTTCATCTGATGACTCAGGTCTTCCTGGCTCTAAAACCAATTCTACTCTATTTTAGGAGGAATTTATGGAATCTAGTTAAGAGGCTCAGTTTCCAGCATCAAAATAACTGATTTAGATTCTCACTCCATATCCTGGTTTTAGAACTTAGATCCCTACATTACAATTCTATGCCTACAGATAGTCCAATGCCCCATTCTTACACTGGAGTCTAAACTTTCTTCGATAAATTCCTCCATGTGAGTGTCTGCCTCCTGCTTGATCCCTAAGTGATGTTGGCTCCAAGACTTGTCATTGCTATATGTGGCTACTTAAATGTCTTGGAGTAAAATATTTTCAGAAAAGGACAGCTGATGTCAACTCCTTAATATGTATCACCTGTTCCTCTGAGTACTCTGGGTCCCACTATGTCAGGTTGGGTCTCCCCACAAAAATTGCCAAACCCTAGAGGGTATACCAATTGTCCAGATCTTTATTCCTCGTATCTTTTACCTGACTGAACTCTCTGTTCTTTTCTGAAAATAGCTCACTTTTAACATTAAATTTGCAAGTATTTAGACAGATTTTGAATAGTGGTAACAAAACATGAAAGCTCAGTAGATGTATAAATTACTCAGTAGTCTAAATAACAAGCATATAGGCATTTAGGAAACAATGCTGGATACTATTTTAAAATATTCATTGCTAAAATTTCTGTGATACAACTGATTTAATACTCTAATGATAGCTTTTTATCTCTGTCACTAACTTTATAAATATTTTCAACAGTTTGTCTCGGGATTAAAAGAAATATTTTATCTCATTGACATAATATGCATAATATCAAGACATAATATTAGGAAGTTGCCTCAGAAGAAAATACAAATGACTTTAGAAGTAATTCTAATTTTTCTAGTAAAATTAAAGGGAAAAATATGCAACTTGATTCAAAGCCTAATTTTTAATTACCTAACATTAATTCATTCTTTAATAAGAAGCAGATATTGGTTCATATCTGTACCAGGCACTTTGGAATATAAGAGATGAAGAAAACATTTTCTTTAATATCAATAATTTTTCTAGTAAAATTAAAGGGAAAAATATGCAACTTGATTCAAAGCCTAATTTTTAATTACCTAACATTAATTCATTCTTTAATAAGAAGCAGATATTGGTTCATATCTGTACCAGGCACTTTGGAATATAAGAGACGAAGAAAACATTTTCTTTAATATCAATACTTCAGCCCTACAAACGCCTAACAAACAGCTAAGCCTGTGAAATACTAAAACATAATGTGAAAAAATAAATTCTAAACAAGGAAATGAGTAGTCTAAAATGAGGCTGAAAATACTATTTAGCAAGCTATCAAAGACAGTTGATATGAATTTAAAGTCACACCACTAACCTCAAATAAAACCCTAAGATTGAACTATTCATATTTATACCAGTGACTTACTATTTCATCTTCCAGTTCTTGATCAGCTCCTTCTAAATTTCCATGGAGAAAAAGAGCCTTTTGCTTCTCTGCTATTTCATATGTTGGAAGCATCTCATTCTCATTTTGGAGTGTATCTAATTTTTTACTAAAATGTGCCATCTTCACATCTTGGCTAATAGTTTCAATGATATCCACAGCATTTTCAGGACGCTCATCTAAGATCTTGGTCAGCATATTAGAAAGATGCTCATATCTACTCCAAAAGAGAAAATTCCAGATAATTTCCATGTCAAAAGCATTTGAAGAACTATTTCATGCAGACTCAGTAATCTAATTTTCAGAAAACTTCAACAACTCGAAGACTTCAGAAATTCTAAGTCGATAAACACTTACAGTAACTTCTATCACTGCCAGAAAAACCTATTTCAGAATTTTCCTTTTGAAATATCTCCAATATGATATGAATTTTTAATATATTAAAGAAAAAATATTATAGAAAGATATATATTTCACATCAGGAACATTTTTACATTTTATTTGAGCTTGGAATCTTAGTTATATTTAAAAGTGATGAACATTTTTCATTTTTTTATCTTAACTTCTTTCCCATCCCTCTTCCCCTACCATCACCAAATCCAATTTGATTTCCAAATCCTGTTGACTCTCTTAAGGTATGTTCTCTTCTGTTTCATTTCCTAGGCCAGTTATCTACTTCTGTGTTTTGATACCTATAAAAAATGCATTTTATTTTGCAGCTCCTGCCCACACACAACTGAAAGTGTCATAAAATATTATTCATCTTTATTAAAATGTGATGCTCTCTAATATTTTTGTTCTATTAAAAACACTGCTGGAGCTTTTTATTTCATATCTTAGTGAAACTGCCTCTAACCTCTCATTAATTTATTACATTTTATACATAACTGCTAGTGTGTGCTTTTTCAAATACCAGATTTACATCGTGAATTTACTATTTAAGAGCTAAACATGTCCATCAAAATGCTCTTAGATTAAAAAAGAAATTCCTTTGTCCAATATGAAAACTTGCATAAATTTCCTCTCTGACAGATAAGCATTGAATCTCTCCAATTTCATTTCTAATAATTATTTCAATTATAACTTCTGCCCCAGTGAAGTAAATCTACTAAAACTCACTTTCATATAGTTGCTAAGTCCTGCCTGAGAGCTTTTGCTTGCTGTATTCCATTTATATCATTTCTCTCAAGAAATAATTTAAAACCACTTTGTTGTCAAGTTACTCTTGAAAGTTTAGAGTAGGTCTTTTTGAGATCACAGTTTAGAGTGGGTCTTTCTGAGATCATTGATATGCTGCTATGTATTATATATTTATTATATATGTGTTATGTATTATATATATATTATATATGTGTACATTATATATTTCTCATTCAGGAACTGCATTAGGTTCTTATATGGCCAAAATTAGGTTTTTGTTTGTTTGCTTTTATTTTAATATATCTCATCTCTTATTATAGTGAAATAAAATAGATGCTCAATAATTGCCTACTTTCTGTTAACTGACCTTAGGTTTTATTTTTTGTTTTTTCTTCTTTAATATCTGTATTTAGCTAATGGATCTTATGCATGTCAAAGAAAAATATGCAGATTATATGGAACAAATTTGAAAGGCAGTTTTAAAATATTATATATGAAGAATATATCATTCTTTCCCAGAATATTGCTATTATTGTAAATTAACAGTAATGTTATGACTTGGATTTGTTTAAAACTTCCTCGAGCTTTGTGTTTTTGTATTCAATTTTAAATAGTGAGCTCTCGACTATTTATAATGAGCTCTTTTGGACTTTCAACAAAGTTTTTAAATTCATACTTCTTATTTAACTCAGGACAAGAAGTTTATATCAGAAATTCAAATAGAATCCACTACTGAGTAGATTACATCCCTGAAGCTTAAGTAAATTATAGTTTAGAACAGTAACTTAAAAATAATATTTTAAATTGTCAATGTTGGGTTTCGTGAAAGATTTCACACATTAAATGTTAATTATTTGTTATTCTTCAAAGATTAAAATTATAGTATCTAATTCTCCTGGTTTTCCCAGGACCGAAGGGTTTCTTGGGATGCAGAACTTACAGTGCTCAACTCAGGACAATTCCAGGATAACTGAGATAGTTTTGGTCACTCTAGCACTGGCCTAGGTGAGAACTCAAATCTAAGCTATAGAAGCACTAGCATGCTTGGGTTAAAGCCATGCACTTGCTATCACTGGTAGACAGTTACTTTTACAAGCATCTTAGAGAAAGGCTTGGACTTCATTATCTTTATGGTCTCTTTCAACCTCAAGATTCCATAATTCCAAGTTTTATTCCTGTATGCCTAAGGTCTTTAGAAAAACTAGAAGAATCCCCATCAATGACCTATATTGAGTCCTGTAATACAAAGAGTTACTAAATTACTAACTCTCATAATACAGACTTTTCAAACATATTTCCATTCACCCATAGAAGACATTCACACAGCGGTATTCACACCCCCTTTTCTTTGCCATACTTTCCTCTTTCTTTTTTTTCCTCCAGGACTTACAGATTTAAGCCCGACTTGTCACTGGTCTTCAGCAGGTAAGCTTTAGCATTCCGAATGGCAATCTCAAGCATGCTGGGGGCCATTTCAGAGGCCCCAGGCTCGGCCTCATTCAAATAGTAGTTACTGTTTGAGTCGCTTTCCTGAAAAAAGTCAAATCTCAACTCTTTCCGTATAGAGTTGTTACAGCTCATATCCTTTGGTCCATACAGGTGACCATCAGTTTTTTGGGGCTGTTGAAAAGCGTTTCCCTCTGATTGGCATGTTTGATAAGGAGTTGATTCTCCTTTATCATGTGATTGTTCCAAATGGTCGGAGTGAGGTGTCCCAGCTTCAGTAATCACACGAGTGTTCTTATCTGACTGCCATGGCGCCGCAAGGTCCCAGGAAGAAAGAGTGGAAGATGGCTCCTGAGGAGGGGAAGGTGGAGATGATGCACCTCTGAGGTCATCCAGAGGTGTGCTGCCTCTAGACTGGGGGCTGGAAGGAAGACTAATTCTGGGCTGGATTCCAGTTTCCGGGCCCTGCTCCGACTCCAGGGTCTTTGATAAACCAGGCTTGGGATCTTGGGAAGAAGCTGCGGTCATTCCTTCCCATGGCCTCTCTTCTTCCGCCGGTTCTAGGTTTTCTTTTTCTTGCTTCAGGAAGGCCGATTCTTCCATAGAAGCAGTCGGGGTGGGGTGGCGGGGGGTAAGTTTTAGATGAAAGAGGAAGTGCAGGTATGGAAGGAGGTAACGCAAGATAGTCGATTCGTTGAGGTTTGTTAAGCGATTTCTGGGTCTTAATTGCTCTGCAAATTGCAGCGTCCTGTCTCCATAGCAACCTCAACAGGTTTCCTCTAAGAGAAACAACTGAACATACCTGTTGCCAAGATTCTAGGGAGGAGACCAAGAAAGATGAAAATCTTAGATTTGTGATTTGGTGGAGCCTCTGCTCCTCTTGCTAGATCAGCCAATCCGAACTGCAGTTTACCCGTCGTGGTTGGAAACCCGAGAAAGGGTCGGGCACAGGAACACAAAAGAGGAGGAGCCAAGACGCCGCGCGGGAGCGTTTTCAAGTGATAGTTTGATTCTAGTTAACGTGGTGAGGCTTGAGTCGGTGCCTTAGGCAAAGGACGATGTATTTACAGAGTGTACGTGCCGGGGGCGGGGACGGTTCTTGGGAATTTTGAGGCGCAGGTTCCAGGGAGAAGGCCAGGACAGCCCAAGACTCACACTTAGAGGGCAAAGGCGTCTCGTCTGCGCCAATCAAACGCGGGAAACTTTTGGATTTAAAACAATGCTTGGATTTTTAGTATCTATATATGATATTGCTCTGACACTCCTTTTGTCTTTGTTCTCTTGGTGATAAGGTTTATCTCTGGACTAAAGTTTACACTGTTGACCTTATTGGTATCTTTGATTCCTAAACTGGCTTTCCTTAACTAACTTTGCACAGGTTAACTATTCTATGTATTCGATAGGCACTTTCTTTACATGACTGTCACTTATACTACTAATTATTCATTTTGAAGTTGCAGTAGACTTTTTACCAGTTACTTTTCCAATGGACTTGTCCATATATATGCTGTGGTTTCTAATAAGACGGAGGATATAATGAGGCTACCAGAGCCCAAACAAATTACAGTTCATATTATCCTTGTTCATTTAGTACAATGTGATAGATCTCAAACTAATATTTAGACATTTGTCATTTCTTCCCATTCATTATAAGTCTGAATATATAATATAGTACCCATGGAAGACCACCAAACTCTTTTTTTATGCTGGATACATTTTGTTTATCCTAAAGATAACACAGGTGAGAGTCTCTTCTCCTTTGTGAATTGCCAGTATTTTTTCCAGAAAATATGCTCTGTTCTTTATCTTGTACAAATCTAAGTCTACATTGTTTATCTACAATACTTCAGAAAGTATTTCTTTTTATAGGATGATATCGTTTAGTCAAGAAAACACTACTGCTTTATCGTTTCCTTTAATCTGGAGCCACAGCCTTAACTGCAGACATATACCACATTCAGTCTTTTTCTTTAGAGCCTTTCTTCATCTCTATCATAGTCAGATTTACGATGAAACTTATGAGAGTTAAACTTCAGGACCCCACTCTTGTACAGTCCCCTTGCCATGCCCTGCACTTAATTTCGAATTTATAATTGTATAGTCTTTTTCTTATGAGACTCTCTTCTAAATTATATAAGCTTTTGCATCCTGGATCAGCCCTAGTCCTATATAGCAGCAGTCCTTAACCTTTTTTGCACCAAGGACCGGGGCTTCTATGAGACTCTAATGCCTGAGGTGGAGCTGAGGCAGCAATGCTAGCACTGGGGAGAGGCTGCAGATACAGATGAAGCTTGATCGCTTGCCTCCATTCACCTTCTGCTTTGAGGCCTGGCTCCTAACAGGCCAGGGATGGGTATAGGTCTCCAGCAGCTTGGGGGTTAGGGACCTCTGCTATATAGGACTCAAGAGGAGAAAGCTCATACGAATAAAAAGCAATCCCGTGTCCTGATGTGAACTGAGATTATAACTTTACAGATTACAAATTCTCTTGGGTGAGCAACTCTATGTTAGCTTTAAGTGAACAGATGCAATTGACTTGTGGCTTTAGTTGATTTTAAGTGTAGTCTTCTACAAAACCCTATTTTACAGTGAGAAATTAACACTCTGGGGAACATCTATGTTCCATGTTGTTGGTATAAAATACTTTATTTGATCCCAACTGAAACCCCAAACAGTAGGAATTATCGTTCCAAACTCTGTCTCAGAGTACTAAGGTAATTGGTCCAAGATTATACTGCTAAAAAGTTCTGACTTTAAGTTCATGGGCACTCCACACAACACAAATGTAGTGTTTTTTTATTTTTCCTAAATTGATATATGATTTTACCAAGATCATCCATAGAATACAAAGTTAGAGATAAGTGTAGGGGATAAGATACTCAGAAATTTTCCAAATAAATTAACTTAGTAATATGAAATTAGACATACTGCATTTTTCCATTTGCCACTAAATAAAATTATCAATGAGGACTATTTAAAAGAAAGGTTCCGCTAAATAGGCTGATGGAGGCAACATTTCGTTCTACAGAATACTTTTTTTACTTCCCCATACAATTAACATTGCTGGTCTTCTACTGTTCATATTCACATGGAAAATTTTGTCAGGAGTTTTGGCCAGGGCCAGGAAAATAAAAATAGAGTATTCCCTAACTTCCTGTTTGTTATAAACTCGATTAACATTTTGGGTAAGGATTTATGAAATCCGGCCATAGTTTTGCTAAGTATCTGCAAAGCTTTAGAATTCCTTAATCCTTAGGCGTAGATTTCCATAGCTTCTGCCAAAAGCCTACTTCGCTCAGCCCCATCTGGGACGCTTCTCCTGGGTGTGGGGAGGTTAGTCGCCACAGTCCGGAAGGTCTTGGTAGGAGTAGCCCTGGCAGCCTCGATGTGCTCTGTAGACGATGAGCAGGTGGTAAAACCCCGGCAAGAACACCAGGATGCCAACAATCAGAACCGCAACGCCCCTCTTGGCGCCTACTTTGCCGATGTAGCCCGCCAGCAGGAGGCAGCCGGTGGTAATGAGAAAGGCACCAGTCAAAAACTGCACGGTGGCGCAGGCAATGGCCTTATAAGGAATCTTGGAGCTTTTCTTAAACTTTAATAAGTCAGATCTCACCGCACCTGGACATCTTTTCGATTTAAAGCTAGATTCAGCAGGTAAAGTTTCCTTCTGACGGGTTACCTGTCCACCGTCAGTGCTGGAGAGCATTGAGTATTTCTCTTTGTTACTGGGATTCTCAGCAGCCACCTTGGTGCGAGTGGGGGATCAAAACCCACAGAATGAGTGAGGAGCTCGCCACCTGCCCCACGGTGGGCAGAGGTGTCAAGGCCCTCGCGCCCACCCAACGGCTCTCGGACCCTCGTGGCTGGTTGCCTCAGCATCTCTCACTCTCCGGCTTCTCCCTAATTAACTTTCTGGAAGACTGCCTTGTTTTTGATACAATCCCTCTTTTATCATGCAAAGTTGCAATTACTTAGTTTTATGGTATATTGGCTGCATTCGTTATTTTCTTAGGCCAGTTCTAGTAAATTCCCAGCTTTCTTTATCATCCCAAATTTTAAATTGAATAGATTAGATTTCAGTCAGTCAATTTCATAGAATTTCCATTTTTTCCTAAATTTTCATAATCATATCTCATTCTCGCCTCTCTCCTCTTCCATTATTCTGATATGCAGCACACATAGCCAGTCAAGAAGAGAGGAGAAGATATGAGTTTTGGAATCAAACCTGGGTGAAATCTTGGCTCTGCTCCTTGTTAACTGTGTAAACTGGGTCATATTGCATACCCAGGAGCCCAGTTCCTTCTATAAAATAGGCATCGTAACATGAACGCCATAAGATTACTGTGAGTACTTACAGAATTAATTATGCAAACTGCCTTGCTTATAGCAGGTGCCCTGCATGGTACTCAGATCCTGCTATGATCAAGGGCGAGGCATGTCCAAAAACTTCAAGGCATTTCACTCTCATTTTTGGCTCATTTTATAGATAACAGCTTTCCTGCAAAGTTGTATTACCTGAACATTGAATTGGCTACCTTGCAGGAGTGGTGTGCCCTTTGGGATACTAAGATTTAATCAGAAATAGTGTGGTCTCGGTCAGGCTATTGCAGAAAGAGTTTCTAATTCATGAGAGGTTGAATTGGAGACCTCTAAATTCTATCTCACCTCCTACCAGAGTAAAAGTATAGTATGGATATACTATAGGGTTTTTTAAAATTCTATTCACTGATTGAAGGACTTTTGAGACATATCTAGTTTGGGGTTGTTACAAACAAGTGCTATGAAAATTTATTTTCATGTTTGTGTGTGAATGTAAGTTTTCATTCTCTAGGATAAACACCCATCAGTGGGATTGTTGAATCATGTTAAGTATGTTTAACTTTATAAGAACTTGCCAAACTGCCTTTTAGAGTGGCTATACCATTTTGTATATTTACCGGCAATGCAGGAGAGATCCATTTGCTCCACATCTTTACTAGCACATGGTATTGTCAATATTTTTCAGTTTATTTTTAACTATGTACTTATATCTCATAGTAGCTTTAATTTCCATTTTTCTGATGGTTAATGGTGATACACATCTTTTGAACTATTTATTTGCCATTCCTCTATCCTCTTTGGTAATGTCTTTCAAGTCTTTTGCCCTTTCTCTAATTGGACTGTTTGTTTTCTTACTGTTCAATTTAGAGAATTAATTATACTCTGGATACAAATCCTTTATTAGTTATGTGATTTACCAATATTTTCTCCCAGTCTATGGCTTTCATCTCCTAACAAGGTCTTTTGCAGTACAAAGGTTTTTTTTTTTATTTTGATCACGTTTAATTTTTCATATCTTTCTTTTATGGATCATGCCTTTGTTGCCAAATCTAAGAACCCTTTGCATATACCTAGATCATGAATATTTTCTTTTATACTTTCTTCTAAACATATTAATAGATTTATTTTTTATATTTAGATCCACAACGCATTTTGAGGTAATTTTTATAAGGTATGAATTTAGGTCAGTTGTCATTATTTTAGTCTATGAGTATCCAATTATTACAACAGCATTTATTGAAAAATCTATCCTTCCATGGAATTGCTTTTGCACCTTTGTCAAAATTCAGCTGATATACTTGCAAAGCTCTGTATATGGAATCTCTATTTTCTTCGATTGGTCTATGTGTCTTTTCTTCTGCCAGTATCATGCTATCGTGATTAACTGTTGCTATATAGTCTTAAAATTGAGAATTAGCTTTTCTATAGCTACAGAGAATCTAACTTGGATTTTGGTAGGAATTTTATTTCTAACTTATAGATTAATTAGGGAAAATCAACATCTTTTCTATGGTAAATCTTACAGTCAATGAACATGGTATAATGCTCCATTAATTGAGTACATTTTTTATTCATCAGCATGCAGTACCTCTTTATTTTTTGTTAGATGTGTGCTTATATATTTCCATTTTTTGGAGTCATTTAAATAGTATTATTTTTTTAATTTTGTTACAATTTATTATTGCTAGCATATAGAAATATGATTGATTTTGTGTGTTGAGAACTTGTATTATGCAACTTTGCAAAACTCACTTATTAGTTCCAGTAGTATTTTGTTGCTGTTAATTCCTTGGAATTTTCTACATAGACTATTATATCATTTGCAAACTGATGATTTTGTTTCTTCCTTTCCAATTTATAGCTTTTATTTCCTTTTTCTTGCCTTATTGTCCTAGCTAGGCTGAATTGGAGTGGTGAGAATCAACTTATATCCCCAGTTGTTATTACAGTGATTGCTGACATGTATTTAGGTATATTCCTATGCATCAGAGCTAATCAACAGTATGCTACCTTATAGACTCCTTTGGTTTGGCTTCAGAACCGGTCTAATAGCTGTGGTGTAGAATAGCAATTATTTAATTGCATCGTAGAGTATTGTATTAGATCCCTAGGGCTGCTGTAACAAAATACCAATATACAGATGGCTTAAAAAAATTGTATTGTCTCACTGTCTGGAGGTTAGAGGTGCAAAATCAAGACATCAGCAGGGCCATACTTCCTCTGAAACCTATAGGAGAGAATCCTTCCTTACCTCTTTTAGGTTCTGGTATTCACCTGCAATCTTTGCTATTCTTCGGCTTGCATATGCATCACTGGAAACTCAGCCTCTGTTGTCACATGGCTGTCTTCACTCTGTATCTCTTTCCTCTTCTTAGTTTCATGGAATTAAGGGCCCCCACTCCTCCAGTATCCGAATATAACTAATTAAATCTACAATGATTCTATTTCCAAATAATATCACATTTTGAGATAATAGAGGTTAGGACTTCAATATATCTTTTGGTGGGGTATAATTCAAGCCATATAAGGTATAATTTTTTTTTTCACTATCTATCTCATCCTTTCAAGGATGGTACAGGGTTCAATGTGCTGTTTGTGCTCCATGACTGTTTTGCCTTGACATTGGTTGTCTGCTTGGGGAAGCTTAGTGACCTAAACTACACCATTCATTTTCTCTCCGTGGAATTTGAATTTGAATTCAACAACACCGGTCTATCTCTGCAGAGACAGAGGGAGAGAAGAATATATCCTTAACATAACAAACACAAAGATAGAGACCATGGAATTCCATGATTGGAGAGAGAGAAAGTGAAAAGATATCAGAATCCCCGACTGCTTCATACTTTTTGGTTTTAGATTCTCAGGAAGTTCAAGACAATTCCTTTCTCGTGTTCCATTAATCTTTTAATGAAGTACCCTATTTTGTATAAACTGGTTACAAATAGAATATTCTCATTTGCAACAAAGTGCTTCATCAAGATGCCAGGAGAAAAATTTCAAAAATGAGAGAACACCTCAGACCATGTTCTCAAAAAAGATGTAACTGGATGTTTTACCTGTGGAATAAAAATAAGTCAATTGCATGGATACAGGAAAATATGTTAGTTTAAAAAAGAAATATAGTGAAAGTGAAATTTAAATTACAGAAAATTGAGTTAATTAAATAAGAATTGTGAAGTTTCCTAGAAATGAAATTATAGGATCATGGACTGTGACAATTTTTAAACTTTTGATTCTGTTTTAAAATTGTTATAAAAAAGATTTGAACTAATTTTTAGTTCCCATGAAAATATATGAGAATGTTTATTTCATTCTACTCTATTACTGAGCATTGCCCAGTTTTTAAACTTTTGCTAATTATGAATTCATTTTGTCTTTTCTATAAACTACAAGTTTTTGTTTGACTGGTCTTATAGAAAATTTTCATATTTATGAATTATTTCATAAATTTTATTAAATTATTACAAAAATATGTAAAAAATCACAAATTATGCATGTACAGTCGGATAAATATTCACAAAGTGACCACATCCATGGAACCAGAACTAAGAACAAGAAATAGAATATACCAAGACCCCAAGAATTCTCTCATATGTCTGTTCAGTTACTACACCATCCCCAAAAGGTATCCACTCTCTTTCTATCTATAGATTAATTTTACCTGTTTTTAAATATTATTTAATGAATCATGAAATAAGTGTCTGGCTTTTTCCACTGAATATTGTTTCAAAGATTCATATATGATTTCCATATAGTTCTAATTTGTGCATCCTTACTGATATATAGTATTTGCTTATATGAAATGTCACGATAGTTATTTATTTTATTATACATGGACATTTGGTTGTTTTCATTTGTTGATTATTATGGATGGTGGTACCTTGAAATATTTATGATTATAAATTTAGTAAATCTTTCTTTTAAGTTTTTTCCACTACTTTTATGCTTCAAGTGTGAAAATTATAAACAAATTCACCTATATTTTTCTAGTCATTCAAAATGATTTTATACTAAATTTAACTATTAAATACATGTGGAATTAGTTTAGTGAGTAATATTTTTTCATCCGGATAGTTAAATGATTGAACCATTAGATGATTAATCTATCTTTGATCCTTTGACCTTTAGTGTAAATTTTGTGATCTGGTAAATTATTAAACAGACGCACATGCTTACATATGAGTTTTCTATTTATTTTGCTATTCCCATCAATTTCAAACCAAGAATTAAAGGTTAATTACAATAAAATAATTTTTAAGTTTTCATTGATACTAAATTTAATTATAGATAAAGAAAAAATACACAGTACAGAAAACTCAAGACATTTACAATTCACATCATATGCTTTCTCTTTTTTTCACTTTGTAATACAGGCTGTCAATACGGATTATCTCCTAAAGCATTTTAATTTTTGAAATTTCAAAGTGTATATCAAACTCATGGCAACTAATCTAAGCACATTTTACTCATTTTTTTATTTATGAAGTTTTATAATTGACATTTGCATAAGTAGCAAAAATTAATGTACACATTAAAATATGCTCTCTAATTAGTAGATTTATATAGAATTTTTTTTACACTGATTCTATTCTTCATTTATATCCCAGATGAACTTCAAGGGAATATTTTTCATCTTCCTTTGAAATATTCTGTCAAATCTTTCATTTTGCTCCACTGTGAAGTGATTTTTCCAATCTCCAATTGTACCTAGAGGAATAAGCACATGATCAGTGCCTGCGTAAGTAGCATAATCAGAGCAAGAATTTCCTCCAACCCCCTTTAATCTCTTCTTCAAGCCAAGCTAAATATCTATTAGTTCTCTGTGGGGTTTGATAGTTCACTTTTCCATATATAGAAATGAACTAAGAAACAAACTTAAAAACACTTCCAAAGTCCACTTTCCTTATCTATTATACTTCCACTTACCACTACCATTAAATTATAATCTTTATTTAGAAGGAAAAACAAAATTAAATATATGACTAGATTAGAATTTTTACATATATTTTACCAAATACTAGGTACTATACTTGGCAAACTATATCTATCATGTAACATAATTCTTAACACAACCCTACAATATCAGTATTTCTTCATTTTTAAAATTGAAAAATATGAAACCTAAAGATTTTCAAGTAATGAAGTCAAGATCACAGAGGATGCTCAGAGCTGCCATTGTTTCAGTTTTACTTGATGGAAATTAGAAACTATCAAACCAATTTTTAAATGAATAATAATTTGGCATCTTTAGCTTTCAAATGTTCTTGTTTAAGCATTATTAGTGGCATTTGGAACAGTTAGCAAGCTATTATAGACATGAGAATTTCTTTATGTTTGATCTAGATGAGAAATGAGAAGTGAAAGTTGATAATAAATGGGACAAAAGAAGAAACAATTTTTTTAAATAGCAATATCAAGAGCAATTTCAATAGGATCTTTACATAACTAAGAATAAATGTCCATCATCAAAATGCTAAGAAGAATAAATTAGTGAATAAAATAGGAATAAAATAAATACAAATTATGTTTTTTAAAAAAATGTACATTAAAAAGATCAAATTAAAAAAATTATTTGAGCTTGAGTGTCAGGAGGAAATTATATTCATTCTCAACAATTCCTAGCATATCGTAGAAGCACAATAAAAATGTATTGCAGGTTGTTGAATAATTGAATTCAAAGCACATCAGGTTAATAAAGTATTAATCTACTTTTTCCAATGAATAAAGATGACACATGAGGAAATAACTTTAACCCAAACTCCCTCCCCCACAACAAAAAACATATTGAGTTTACTTCTAGAATGATCTAGAAGAAATAAAGGAAAATGAGCTGTCCTGGTCACATATATCCATCACCTTCAGGTAAGAATTGTTAACACATTTTAGATTAGGGTCATGTGGACTAGAAGGAAGAAACCTAATATCGATTAATTAGGTTCAAGTGTCAGGCTCTGTACTAAAGAACTGTTCAGTTTTCTGGCATATTTTTTTCAGGGCCATTTTCAGTGAGGATCTTTGATTCTCTTTAGGGCCCAAATGACAGTACTTGGAGAGATATGTTAGAAGCACTCCTTCATTAGGGTAGGGAACCAAGAACTCAAGTAAAGTCTCAACACTGGCTTTTATAAACCCCTGGCATCACCTTTGCGCAGAAAAAATGAGTCATTTGTTCTTTTCCCAATTTCATGTTTTAGAATCTCCTCACAATTCGCTAGTGGATCAGACTTCATGTTCTGAAATGTAGCTCGTTTCACAATAGTTTCCAAATCCTCTTCATTCAGTTCTTTCTCAAGAAAACTGCTCATTTTAAGCACGGAACTTCGGAGATCCTGACAGAATTGTGGGTATGAGAAACTATTCAGCTTATACGGAATGTATGAGTTACAGCCCAACATCTTTATCACATTTTGGAAAACATAAAAGTGATTGGACTCAAAATCACTAATCATTAGTGAAATACAAATAAAAAGACACAATGAGATACTATTCATACCAATTAGGATGGCTATTAATAAAAAAATAATAATAACACGTGGCGATGAGGGTATGGAGAAACTGGAACACTTATGCATTACTAATGGGAATATAAAATAATATAGTGGTTCCTTAAAAAATTAAAAGTAGAATTACCAAAACTCCACCAAACACATCCCTTTCATAATTATAAACCTTGCCGTCTACCCCCAAATAAGCACCACTATCCTTATTTTTATAATAGCAACCTCTGGTTTTATTTATAGTTTTTATATGTAAATATGAATCTCCAAACATTACTGCAATTCCTCCTCCATGCCAACTACATACTGCAAGATACTTGAGACAATGAAGTAGTAAATGACTCTTCGTAGTCACTATGTCCCTAGGATATAACCTCTAAGTCAGTGGGAAATGTGCAAAATTCTGAGATAAGCTAAATAGGCTTTGGGTGTTTCTGATGCAATTACTGTGGGAGAACCAGGCATAAACAGTATTAAGTAAAATTACCAAGATATTTTCAAGGAAAGTAGTAGACAACAGAACACCTCAAAATCTACATCTACATTGATGGATAGCTAATTGCTTGAGGAAATTAGGATGTGTTTCTACAAAGGGCTTTAAAGCAGAAAATCCCAAGTTGACTAAAGCCTATTTTTCCTGACAAGTGAAGTTGAAAGAAGATTCTCTCCCTATCATATAGTTAAGAACATTTTTCTTAAGGGTTGGTGAAAATCCTAGATCAAAAATACACGAACAATGGGTTACTTAGTGGAAAGGAAGAAAAAAGTGATACCTGGTGATGGTATATTGGTGACAAAATAGAGAAATAGTCAAGAGATTTTGCATAGTTTACTCTGTGGTCTTTGACCTAGTCGTCAGTAAATTCTATTGTTTACTAATGCTGTTATGAGCACATTCTTATGGAGGAATTCAAATATGAAAATAGGGAAGAAATAAGATTTGCATTTTGAGATGATAACTCTGGTTGAGGAATGGAGAATAAATGAAGATGAGCTGAGGCCAGAGTCAGGTAGACCAATTGGGAAGGTTGCTGTGGAAAATAGGCAAAAGATAATTATGATCTGGACTAGGGAAGGAGCAATATACACTAAATTAAGATGTGTCTTCTACAAAGTTTACAGAAATTGTTAACATGACTTGTTGATTGGTTGATAAAATGAAGTACAAGGGTGAAAGAGATATTGCTTATGAAGCCTGGTTTCTAATTAAGGTCACTTGAATTACAGAGCATCTAAAGGGAGAGACTGAAGCTTTTGTTTGAAGGAGATAAATTGTTTTTGGACATGATTTGTTTGAAGTCCAAATATTAGATATAAAAGTAGGTATATAGAAAGATAGTTACAATATATATGTATCTTGACTGGTGATATATATTTGTGACTCACCAATTATTCCCCAAATTACTCCAATCTGGTTTACTATGCCTCATATTATACTTCATGTCACTAGATTAATGGATATTTAAACTCTCTTTTTTTTCCCTCGACTTCTCGGCAGCCTTAAATATCTTAAAAAGATCTTAAAGATCTTTCTCAACATACTCCCTTAGTTTTTATGTCACCACAAATTCCTCCTTTTCTTTCTACTTCTCTGATCCTTTTCTGTTTCCTTAGTGGGTTCATTTCTCTTTACCCAAACCTATATCTTAAGGTCTCTCAATAACAGATTCTAGTTTTTCCTTTTCTTCCACTCCACTTCCTCCTTCCATTTGTTCCTGCTTTCCTTCTTCCCTCTTGCTGTCTCCCTCCCCCTTTCCACTCTCAATTTTATCCAGGTTCATAGTTCCAGTTATATACTATACGGTGATGATGCTCAAGTTAATATCATTGATATTTTAGCCCAGAACACTTCTTTGAGCTTTACACCTGTATTTTCTACTTATTTCCAAATATCTTCATTAGGATATTTCTAAGTCACCTCAAACTCCATATGTCAAAACCAACCTCATGTCTTCTACCACTAGCCTTATCCTGCTTCAATGTTCCCTAAATACCTTCATGAATGACACCATTATCTACACAGATATATGAACGAGACATATAGGAGGCATGCTACACATTAGTCTTTGCCATTTTTTCCTATATGTAATTCCTTTCCTTTTTATCTCCTAAATGTGACTTAAAACTCTACATTCTCTCCAGTCTCAATACCATTCTAATCCAAAACACCAATGATTTTCAGTAGATTAGCAACCTGGTCTTTAACTAGTTCACCTATATTTACTACTATTGCTTTTCAACAGATTAATGGAAATGAAATTCTAAAAGTACTAATTCTATCACATTGCTATTCTTCTTATAACTCTTAAAGAGCTCCTTATTGCTTTTAAAATAGAAGAAATTGCTATTATGAACATAGTCTACAGACCTTGCACAATCTGGCTCCTACACACCTCTCCACCTTAATCTTTCATCACTGATACCTTGTTCTTTAACTTCTTCAGTTCGTTGAAGATGTCATGTACTTTACTGCCTTAGGGAATTTGCACATTCTCTTTTCTTGGCTTAGAATTCTCCTTTACCTCTCTTCCTTTTGTTTACTCATTTATTAGTTTGCAGTTCTCATGTTACTTTTTCCAGAAATAATTGTCTTTTAACTATACCAGATCCCCTTATATCATATACTGATATACCTGTGTTTTTCCTTAATAACTCTTACCACAGTTTTGAAGTATATATACCTACTTGGTGAATACTGGTCTTCCCTGTTGGATTATAAATTCTATAAATAGAGGGTTCAATCCTCGTTGTCTCATGATTTAGTGTCTGTCACATAGTAGGCATTTAATAATTTTGAATAAATGAATGGATGAATTATGTAACAGTAAATCAACATAGCAATCAAAGACCACAAAATAGTGAACTTCAAATGTGTTTTGTTTGGTTTACACGATGTATTAGAACAGCTTTGATTGGATGCCAAAATGTAAACATTATGTGATTTATATGAAAGTTACATTTCAAGGTTCTCTTTAAAAAACAGAAGGATTTGCATCATAAAACACACAACCACCTCTTACCAATTAACTTTTATCTTAGTGGCTTTTCACCCCAGTGTTTCGCATAAGTGACTTTTCTCTTTTTTTAAGCTCTAGATGTGTTAGTTTGCTACAGATGGTACAGGAAAAGAAATCACAAAAGATGACTGTGTACAGTGAGAAGAGAGCCCTGAGGAAGACTGGTATTAAGGGATGGGCAGGAAATTAGAAATCCCTAAAGAAGGCTGAGAAGTAGTTAGGTACGAAGAAAACTAGATAAATGTGGTTCATTAAGACCAAGATAAAAAGAAGTATCAAAGAAATAATTTTTTAAAAAGTAACCTTCTCCTCTTACCTTTTTCATCTCCTCAAACATCATGAACAGAATGTTGAAGTCATGTCTGTGTTCATACCAGCCTCTGATGTGATCAAACCAAAGGCTTCCTACCACTGTGGGAAAATGAGTAAGTGATAAGGTAAAGATGTTGCACTTACTGAACAGCAAACTGTAATCTCTCTTTTCTGTTCTGGAATCCTCAGGAAAAAATAAAGCTCCTACCACTGGACATCTATGTTACCATTTAAAAATGGTGTTTTGGGGAACAATTACATGATTTTAATGGAAACCTGCCTTTCTTATGTATGTAGGAAAGCAGCAATGCAGAAATAAGAAGCCCAAAGAACTAATTTTGAAGATTTCTTCAAGGTAAGCCCCTTACTTTTCCTACTTCTTCTACCTGGAAACATGTCATATTTCTCCTTTTATTGTCTGTTTTAAGATCTTGGGATAGCAACTTCAGCTATCTACCATGAGATGAACCTGAATATAATCTTCTAAATGAATAAGAGCCCGATTCCACATTCCACAAACCTCTTCTATCAATCTATCCTCCTCTATGTTGAAATGAAAATTCCACCATTGCCATATAAGGCCTACCATAGGTCCATGACAGAGCAGAAAAACTACAACCACTTTGAACATTAGCTATCCTGGAACACATGGATCTAACTAGTTTAAATTGATAAATATTGTGGTTCTCTTATAATATAGTCAAAATATTTTTTAAATAATATACTTCTGCAACCATGACACTCTCCAAAGTGGTCCTGGTGAGAATACAAAAGCAATTGGGTGGCAAATTAAATTGACGGAATAGTAACCATTTACGTGTATTTCAGCTTCTATCATTACCCTTCTCAATTTCTCTAAAATATATTCCCTAAGTTTGAAAATTTGGCTAAATGGCAACATTGCCTCATAAATACATTGCTTGTATAAATAAATTCATAGTTACCTTTTCCATTTAGAAACCTTTCCATGAAATGTTCAATGCTATCTGCAGGTTTCAAGATAACCACCAAATTTGAAAAATGAAAGAATGAGACCAAAACATCCTTGGGGTTTCTGTAGATGTAAATAATCTGCAGGGGGAATAAGAAAAAATTTTTAAAAATTCATGGTTATCCTTACAGTTTTTTTTAATACCTACGTGTTTCATTATAGGAATGTATAATTATTTTATCCAGTCTACTAATCATGGAAATTTAGTTATGCCCTATTTTTTGCTATTATAAAGACTGTTGAAATAAATTACTTTACTCACATGACATTTTACATGTGCAAATATATAAGACTAATTTCTAATAGTGAAACTATTTGTTTGTAAGGTTGATTAACACCGCAAACTACCTTGCATAGAAGCTGTTTCAATTTACCCTCTGTGAGCATTAAGTGATATTTGATATGCAGCCAAGGTAGTATTTGAGATCAGTGAAAAAAGAAAATACTAGCAGATGCTATTGAAAGAAATAATTATCCATTAAAAAGAATAAAATTCCACCTCATACCTTACTCCGTACACAAAAATCATTTACAAAAGGATTGAGGAATTAAAAATGAAAGCAAAATGTTCATATCTTAAAAAATAAAGAATGTATTTCTGGTCTTGGAAAATAAAAAGATTTGCTAAACAGAAAAAATTATTTAAAATAAAAATTGATCGATTCAACTACATTAAAAATTTCAGAATGTTGTTGATTAAAATATACCATAAAGTTACAAAAAACAACAAAATCTGAGAGAAACAACACATATAACCAATAATTAATTAGTATTCAGAAAATATATAAAACAAATCAATAAGAAAAGACAAACAATGAAATTAAAAAATGGGCAAAATTATAATCATTTCACAGAATAAAAAATAATTATGGCCAATAAACATCAAAAAACATCATTATTGATGAGGGAAATGCAAACTCAGATCAGCTTGTGATACCATTTTATAATTAACAGATATTAATAATTAAAAAGTCTGATAGGAAAATTTCTAGAAAAAAATTACTCATATATTACTGGTTTCAGCATAAACAGGTAAAACTACTTTGTTTTAAAAAAAATAGCATCATTTAATAAAGTTGAATATTTTTTAACTTTGTGGATTTGCAATTTTATTCTTGAACATATACTCTAGGGAAGCCCATGCAGATGTGTACCAGTAGACATGCTCAAGAATGTTCATAGCAGCATGTATTGTAATAAGAAAATATTGGCCCAACCTAATTATTCAATGAGGAGAAAGCATAGAACAGATAGAATAACTCACACAACTTGAAAAATGATATGCAGTTGAAAATCATGTTAAAAATCTAGAACAAACAAAGGCATATGGAATAAAAAATAAGTGACATATAAACATACAAAGTTAAGTAAAATTTAAGGCCAAATGATTTAACAGGACAACAAGTAACTTGCTTGAAATGACCCACAGGACAGAAATCTTTGTATATTGAATAACACGTTAGGAAATCTTAAATGATAGAATTTCTGCTAAGTCTATGAAGATCTGATTTAGCAACAACCATACTGAGAGATTTATACTCATTTACTTTTATACATAAGGATAAAAGGATTAACAAAATAAATGTAACAATTATTTAACAAAATTTATTTTATATATGTGTGTGTTACTGTTCCATACAGAGACTATACATTGTTTTCTCATATAGTCATGGAACATGTTAAAAAAATAGATCATGTAATTGGCCATAAAATTTCTTGATGAATTTCAAAAATTAAAACTCTTATGGTACCATTACCTGATGCTAGTACATACTAATAATCAACAATGAAAAAGTTAAAACAGAAAATTGTATAAACACTTGGAAAAAAATCTTCAAAATAACTTGAACCAATTAGACAATCTAACTGAAATGATAGATTATTTAGATACTAAAAAAATTATATCCATAGCTATACTAAAAAGGTATCCACCATTTTTAAATGTCAATATTTTAAAAATAAATACTGAAAATGCTGATTTAATTAAAGAAAACAGAAAAATAAATGCAAACAAAATGTGAGAAAATAAAGTGAAAGCAGAAACCAATAAAGTAGAAAACATTAAATTATATTTAAAAAAAGAAGTTGGCTCTTTAGAGAAAAAAAACAATGTAATAGAAAACTGCTGATATCCTGAAAAATGTGAAAATTAAAGAATATAACATTTTTCCTCATTACAAATGAGGAAATCCCTGGGGCAAATATTATTCAATGGTCATATTTCAAATCACATGCAGTATCAGATATGGGTTATAATTAAATATAAAAAATAAAAACATAAAGTTAATTAGAAAAACCCTGGAAAGTATTTGAATAATCTTTGTGGTGGGGAAGTCTTTTCTTAGCAAGACACAAAATACCATAATGTATGAAGAAAAGATTGATAGATTGGTTATAAAAGTTAATAGCATTCAATAATCTTTAAAGGTAAACTATTAAATGGAAAAATATTTGTGCCATATAAATGCTTCTACAAAACAATAAATAAAAGACATGGGAAAGAATATAAAGGATATTTCAAAGGCTAGACATTTATGAACGGATGCTCAAACTTATTAAAACCAAAACCAAAAGGGCTGCCAATAACTCAAGAATGAGATTTTTTTAACCTAGTACATTAGCTAAGAGTGATAATTCCAGTTACTGGTAAGTGTGTGCGCAAAAAAAAATTCTTATATGATATTAGAAAAAGTGTAAGTTGGTGCATTATAGGAGGCAAGTAGCTAATATTCACCAACCTTTAAAATAATTGAACACTTTAACTTAAAAACTTCACTTTTGGGGAAACATTTCACCAGATCAAAAAAGTGCAAAGATTTATAAGAATGTTTATTGTAATGTGATATATACATTTGCTGCAACCTACCTGTCCATCAATATACATTCAATATTAACATATATATATATTCAATATTGTAGAGTCATACATTAAAATTCTACTATACCATTAAAAAGAATAGAATTTCACGTGCTGTCATAGAAGAATTTTTGCTGTATGTTATATAATTACACTCCAAATAATGAGTGTGGTAACTCAACTTATGTATATACTCATAATTATATACTTAAAATGATATCATAAAGATTATACTAATAACATTTGAAAGAATGTGGATAAGTGGGGCTGAAAAAAAATATTTGAAGAAAGTAGTTCTATGACATACTTTAGCTTTTTTGTTCTTGAGAGCTTTTGGTACTAAATAATATGGGAGGTGAGAAACGAAGATGCGAGGGGATGGTCTCTTGAGAAAGTCCACTTTGCGTATATTCATTTCAAAGAAGGGTATTCTATCAAGTGTGTCCACAGTTTCAGTTCCGTTACGATATCCCTCAAAGTAAATCAAGCTTAATATCTGCTGAGTCCAGATGGTGCCTGTAAAAATAAATAATCCCATTTTCAACCCTGAATTAATTTTTTATAAAAAATGTCAATAATAATGTCATCTGTCTCAAAATTATTGGAAGCTTTTTCTTTCTTTTAACCATTCTAAGTGTGCCAAGGAAATTTGTCCAACTTTTTTTGTTCATTTGTACTTTACATTAAAATTAGTAAAGATAAAATCAAGTGCTCTTAGTTCCCTTTTTACTGGGAAAGAGCTGTGGTTGTTCTGATTCCACAATAGTAGCAGTTCAGATTAATCCTTCAGCTCTTTCTGTTCCCTGTACTTCATATAAGGTCCATTTGTACAATTTTCTGTGGCTACCTTTGTTTCACCTTCCTTAATATCCTTTCTTAAAGCTTTATCTTTTAGCAGTAGAGACAAATTAAGAGGTCAAAGCTCCTTTCACCTTTTTTTTTTTTTTTTAATGGTATAGCGTAAGTTTTTTCATACAATGTTGAATCAAAGAACCAATAGCAGGCATTCTGGTGTTGTTCTAGATTTTAAATGTGATATTTTAAATGTTTCACTATTGCATATGATGTCTGTGGTAGTTTTTGGTAGATATTGTTTATCAGATTAAAGAAGTTCACTTTTCTCCCTAATTAACAGTTTCCATTATTAATATGTGCTGAATTTTATCAAATGCTTATTCTGCATCTATCGAGATGATAATTCAGGCTTTCTCTTATACTCTAGTAATGTGGATAAACTACATTAATACATTTTTAGACCAATCTTGACTCTTGAAATAAATCCACCTTGGTCACAATATATTTAACATTTTTAGATTTGTTTTGTTTATATTTGGTTTAGGATTCTTGCATCTATGTTCACAAACATGCAATTAATGTTCTAAAAGGTTGTGAGATGCCAACAATCTTGTAATTGTAACCACTCAACTTATTATAGACATAACAGATTTGATAAAATTGATGGTGAATCCTGGGGAGAGTCACTAATCTCTCTTTCAAGATACGCAAGAACCCAGCAGCCTAGACTGAGGACTGCTGTGTGGTGTCCCAAAACCTTGGGCTGGATTAAGGGTAAAAGACAGACTTTTATGAGCTGCAGTGCTTAACCTAAAATTAAGCAAAACAATTGAGATGCCACCAGCATCAAAGAGAGAGAGAAAAAAAAAACAATATCAGATGTGCTGATGAATTTTGCAGAGTAGAAGAATCCAAGGAAAAGGCATTGCATTATTAATTTGGGCAAAGTAAACAAGACCATAAATTTCAAAGTAGATGGTAAAAGGAAGGGACTGGAATATTTTCATGAAAATCAGGAATTTTTTTTTTTTTATATTGACTTAGACTTTAGTGTATCCTTTAAGCAACATTAACTACTCTGTACAACATTGCTTCAAGAGCACCAATCATCCTATTTTCTAAAAAGCACAACATAAAAAATAAGATTTTTTTGGAATGTAAGATTGGAGGGCAATTTACTTTAGTGCAAAATTATTTCATTTATTATAGGGAAATACAAAGCAATTAGAGTAATTGAAAAGCATATTAGGAATTAGTTCTGACTGAGATATGTTGCTAACAAAAAATCCTACTGGGTTTTTAAATATATTTTCTTCTATTCTCAGAACAAACCAACAGGTCATTTGCCAATTATCTGTTCTTGGCTCACTATTTGATTTTTTCATATATGCCATCAAAAATGACAATACATGCATTTCAAATGGCCTTATGTAATAAAGATTTGAGATTTATTTAACTTTTTTTTTTGCTTACCTTAAATAGTGGTCCAAATGTAGCCTGGGTTATTGTTAATATCTAGAAAAGGGCATATTTGTAAACATGTATTACCAAACCAGAGAGAAGACTGATAACAGGTGGCACACTCTACAAACTTACCAGATTTTGGATATGTAATTATGAAGACATCATCATCTCTAATTTCAAAATCATCTAGATTTTCTAGAAAGTCAATCTCAACAGTAGAAGGTTCAAAATTATAGCCTTTAAAGTTCAATAAATATGTGTCTGAGTTGTCCATAATTAGTCACCTACGAGTAAAAACAGAAAACATTATTTTCAAGTTCTTAGTATTTTATAATAATGAGTAACGTTTACTTAGTGTCCATTTACCAAGCATCTTTTAAATGTCATATGTATATCAACTTATACCGTACTAAACAGATTACACATATAAACCATTTAATCTTCATAACAACCAAATGTTGCTAGAAGTATTATCACTATTTTAAAGATGAGGAAACTAAGATACTAAAAGGTTAAACAGCTTTTCCTAAAACCCCTTGAGAGAGGTATTATCATGACTCCAAAGATATACCTGAGGAAAATCCAGCACAGGAGGTTTAGCAAATGGTTGAAGGTTGCCCAGTTAGTGAACCTGTCATGATTTGATGCCAGACAATGTGATCACAGAGTCCATGCTTTCAATCACTTTAGCTAATACAGTTTCTTAGTATTTTATATTTTAATTTTTTACATTTTTTTATTGTTGTAGAAATAGGAAATTCTTCAGTGAATGTGCTTTTTGTTTCCGTTCTTTTTTTTCTGAAACAGAAATAATCTGCCGTCTCTGAAAGAAGCTTTTGAGGCTTTGAGATCTGTATGCTAATTCGAATGAATTGTGGAATATGCTCTGCATGAGTAATATCAATTGATTTTACTTTGGAGATGTTGCCTTTATATAGTTGCAAGATATTGTATGGTTATCATTATATTTTCCAAATTGAATTTTATCAGAAATCCTAAATAAATCTAAATAAGAAGGTCAAAATAAAAAGAGGAGGCAAATAATCTAAAGACGTATCTGTCAAAATTGGATCAGCCAAGCATTTCTTTACTAGCTTCACTTGAGAAATTTGTTAAAAGTTGCAAATATGGCTTTGTCTAAATTATATGTCAACAAACAAAATTTAATTCCTTTACAAACAATCTAACTGACCTGACCAATAGAAGAAAGTCAGAGGTTAGAATTTTGCTGAGTAAAAAATCACTTTCATTGGAATTACCTGGGTTTCTGGGTAAATGTTCATGTTCTAGGCCTTATAACAGGCTGATAAAATCAGAATTTCTGAGGAGTGTGACCTGGAAATCTGCATTTTAACAACCCCGCCAATCATATTAAAAATTGAGAACCAAAATAGTAATAAAGCACTATCTGAGAGAAGTGCTTTTGTGGGATGTTATTTGACTTCCAATTAAAAGATTCAGCTAAGGCCCTACTAACTTGCTGGAGGTTTCCTGACTCAAGCTGAAGTCCAGGCATCCTTAACTATTGAGAACTGAGGATAGAAGAAACTGGCTGATAAACCACAAAGAATGGTTTCAAGAGATAGATGGAGTGCTATTGTGACATTGGCATCATAAATTTTCCAGAAAATACTTGGATAACTCAGCCTTTGGAGTGTAGTAAGGAAGATTTTATACTGTAAAACATGGACAAATGGAAAAGTCTATAAGTAGGAACTACAGTTAAAGTGAAAGGTAAAGTGTTAGTCACTATCGCACCTCTTGACACCACATCCTATGCACATCCAAAAAAGCACCAATTCCAGAAATTCCTAATGCTGAGAAAAGAGGACAGAGTATCAGGCAGACCAAAAAAACATTCTGAAATCACTCCTTTTTTACCATTATGTTTAGGTTGTCTTGCAATGTCTTGGGATAAAGAGAATTATAAGAGCTGTTTTGTCACAGAAACAAGGGGAAAAGAGTGGAGTGTAAGATGCATTCATATAGGATCTTGGCATTGGCAAGTCATATGTTGTTTACATCTCTTAATGAATATAGGAGAAAGTGACTGTATAAACAGAAAGAATATCATTTGTTTCCCTCTTATTCTTGCACTGAAGTCCAATAGAAAAGGAGGAAAAGGAGAAAAATGAGGAGAAACAGATACATTACATGCTGAAGATGTTGTAGCCACCAGCACCCAAAAGACACACGGACCACCAGAAATCAGTGAATTATAGGAAACACACTCTTTATTCAGCCGGCTGGGTCTGCCAGGGGTACGCAGACCCCAAATGAAGCAGCCCCGACATGTAGAGGTACAGAGTTTTTAAGCCCTAAATCCCATTCCTCATTCTGTTTAACACAAAAGTCCATTTTTCTTCTATTTACTGTCAACCCACACGTCGGGTGTGCAAGTGGGGGTACAGAAGCAGAAAGCTTATTGTTAGAATGTTATGTTCCCATGGGTGATATGCTGCGTCCTCTTTCTACCCTACTGTGTAACAAGGTCCGGAGATGGGGACAGAAGCTTCAAGGAATGCGTCGTCAAGAACGAGGACGTGGCATGTGTTTAGGGATAATTGGTTTCTTAGGAACGATCCTATTAATAGGGGGGAATTTGGGAGCACAAATTCTAGTAAGTGTAAACGCTGTACAAGTGAATTTCCTCAAAACTGGCTCTGAGGAAAACATAGTAAATTCCCCGTGTATGGAATCAGCTCCAGTCACCCTGACGTGTCCAGAATGCGTAAACCCTTTATTTGAACAATTATTAAGAGAAATTCCTTTTGACGCGCCTCTTAAAGATGTTATGAATAAATTACAACAAGCTGAATTACTAGAACCAGCTTATACTCCTGTTCCCATGCAGTTAGTAGAAAAATTAGTAAAGGATAAGAAATTTACTCATAAACCTGTGCCTACTATGGAAGGGCCTCATTTTGTGGCCTACTGGATAAATGGAAAACTCGGGTATCCACCTAGCGGGGCTAATAGTATGAAAAGATTACCTGATCCTCCTTTGCCTTATACAGGAGCTTATAATGAAGATAGCATACATATGGTGAATTAAGATGGAATTCATGTGCCTTATAGTAGTTTAAGTTTTATAGAAAGGCTGGCTAGGTCAGGACCTCCTCGGTGCTTAAAAAACAAAGGAACAAAAACTTAGCTTATGAAAGCAGCTTTGTAAAACCGATTTTTATAAATATTTTCCTCAATACGGCACCAAGGAAGCTTTTGAACAGCTATGAGAAAGGTTCAGTTTGAACTTTAGATAATAGCATAAATAAAGTAGCAATTAAAAGATTTCTTCGGGCAGAAAGAAGAACAATGTCTGCCCACAAGCCAATATTTGCTATTATGAATACCTCTATCTATCGCCTTTACTTAAGTCAAACTGTATCTTATGTAATAGATATAAGAATTAAAAGTTTAGATTGTTCCATCAGGTAGTTCTGTTCTAATAACTGAGAAAAGAATGTACTAGTTAATCATGAATATTAATAATAATATACTCTATAAGATTTTCTGCTTCACTTAACCACAGAAATTTAACTCCCTGCTATCTTAACCACAAGGTATAATCAAATGCCAAAATAGAAAGTATAAAAGTTGTACTCAAATCACAATAAAACGGAACAGTGTCACACTGCCTCTGAGTTGTGTAGTCGACTGTCTCCCGCGCCGACGCCTTGCCCACCTTCGGGGCCCCCTGGATCCTGTCATGGCTGGACCATGGCAGTTATAGCCTATGTTCCCATGGGCGATAGCCAAGCAGTAATTTTCCAGCCAACACAAAGAGAGAGTGAGACTTAAAAGAGGCTCTAAGTCTACCCTTTTACTACTCACTGTTACAGAGCAACTGATGAAGCAAAATCCACTTCTGATATAATTTTATGGACAACAGGGAATGACGTGCTGCTGAAAAATAAATACTCCCTCCAGAGTTTGTCTTGGCCAATAGTAATATTCTAGGGAGTCAGCAGGTAGCTCAGTTTGGATAAATAAATTGAGCAAGAGTTTGTTATCCTTTAGGACATAAATATCTTATTACTCTAGAAAAAGGAAAGGCCTGATAATTGGTGGAGATACTAAAGAGAACAGCATGTACCCAGTAGTCATATTTACTTAAACTTTGAAACTATACGACAAACAACAAGATGTATTTGAAAGTTACAGCAACATGTTCTTTGGGCACAAAGGATGGTTAGTAAAATCTTTTAGACCTATATTAGAAGGCCTCTTTCTTTGGGTTTTTATTTGAAACATCCTAAGTAAAACTGGCTATGGCTATAGGAATTTCAAAGAGCCTTATAAACTTATAGAATATTTAAATTTATTTTCCACGATGTCCCGGTTGTTCTTCATTAGTGATGCTTTCCCACTCTTGTTTGCTTTTCTTCTTTTTAAGTAGACATCACAGAAGATTCAGCCCATCCCTTTTGTACTCTACAATAATTAAAATATGTCTCAGACCTGTCCTAACAACTCCCTGGGAACTTTATCTCATTTTTCGGTCACCTGTTACTTACATAAACAGCTCTTGAACGATCCTCAGGTTTCCAGTAAACACAATTTGATCCTAGGAAAGATTTTTAATCTTTTTAATGTACAAATCTTCACTGATAAGGATAATTTAGGCTTGCAAATATTTAACCTGTCTCTTGTTTCACATCATGTTTCTAAACGAGACAAAAATCTCTTTTGTGAGAGTGGCATAGCCTGAAAAGTAGAAATCAAACAGAGTAGGCTATATATTAAAATGAATAGCTCAGCCAATAATTTCTTATTTCATAACATAATTTTCACTGAACTAAAAGCTTTGGGGACATTTTGAGATGCCCTCAGGCATCTCTTTCCTTTTCTCCCTCTCTAAACCAGTCTGCAATAACACTAATGAAAGAGGCAGTACCGCATCTGTGACCCAAAAAATTCTTTTACTTTCCTCATTTGCGTACCAAACAATGATATGGTACATACTGCAATTAAAAATATTACTAACCTTTTTGTTTCCATGGAACTTTCCACTGCTTAGTGAAATCTCAGTTTTCTAAGATTTCAGAAGGTGTGCCCCTATTCTAATAATGGTCTGTTCAAAATATCAACTAAGGGTGAAATGGAAGAAAGAATTTGGAAAGCTCTGTGTAATTATGATACAACTCAATCCTTTTCCGCACTCTCCATAATCAATTCATCTTGTCTTTTTACATCTTTTAAGAGCTTGAAGAACTGAGGCAATTAGGCGCATATCACATTATACCACAACAAATTATACCATATTATATTTCC